CTGCCCCAGACATCCCTCCCTGGGGAAAAGCTGAGCCAGAGCCCAGTGCTGTGAGGCCAGAGAAGAGCCACCCAGCTGCCCCATCCCATTCTTCCCACAACCCTTCCCCAAGGGTCCCTCCTAGACCCCGGCTGGCAGGGATGTGAGCGCAATGGGGGAGGTGGGGACCAACATCTTTGAGGAGCACATGGAGATGGAGGGGCTGGCACAGCTAGGGACAGGGTTGGGCCATCGGCATGGAGGTGGGAAAGGCCGTGTTGTGAGGCCCCCTTGACCTTGCTACCTTGGTGTGGCATCGCCCCGTTGTCCCAGCACCCTTTTGACTTCCTTGGGGAGGCTGCTCGTGGGGAAGGTGTAGGGCTGGGGGGAGATGGGGGACACCCCCGTACAACTGCTCCACACAGGCTGTAAGCTGCGTGTGGCTATGAGAGAGGGAAGGAAGAGAAACCATCCCTGCCCCACTTTGGGGGATACCCTGGGAAGAGACCCTCCAAGGGCAGGAGGAAGGACAGCAGTTGAAAGCAAGGTTAGGGTTATCTCCTCACAGGGACTCTTAAATGTCCTGTCTCTGTTGAGAGCCTCAAGTCCCTCAGTGGGGAAACTGAGGCACGCAGCAATGGAGAGGGGCTGCAGAGGATGCGCTGTGCCTGGGTGCCAGCCCCTACCCCGAGCTTCACTCACCGTAGGCCTGGTGTGTTTTGGAGAAGCTGTTGGAGGCACTTTTGAAGGAGAACTTGCTGGTCAAGCCCCGGCCACCGCTGCTGTCATATGTCCCCTCGTTGAGCTGCGGCAGTGAGACAGCATTCTTGATGATGGGCGAGATGGCTGGGGGGGCGGGTGATGCTCCGGCTTGACCCCCGCTGCCCCGGCTCCTCAGTGGTGTCCGGCGGACGTGCCGCAGCGTCCGGGCAAAGAAGTTGTTGGCTTTGGCCGTATCGGCCCCACCGTGGTTGCTGAGGAAGGAGGTGTCCCCGAAGACATCCCCGCCACGCCCCACATGCATGGTGTGCCGAAAGTCCCCCAGCGGTGGGCTGATCATGTCCGGTGTCAGCTCTGACTTCAGCCGCCGCTTGCCATGGGAGCCTGACACCCAGCTGAGCACTGGCAGCTTCCCCAGGCTCATGTTGCACCCCTCACCTCACCTTGCCCCTGCAAAAGCCCCAAAAACCAGCCCTCGCCAGGCTTCCAGCACCGGGGTGGCCTGTCACATCCCTGGCCTCCCCATTGCTCCTGCTCCGATGCTCTCAGGGGAATGGCTCACGTCACCTTGGCTTTCAGCGGGTGGGAATGGTGCTTGTCGCCCTGCTTCCCTGCACTACGTTGTTCTCATGAGATCACCTGCAGCGGGTACGTCCCCAGTGTTTAGGATGGTGGCGGCATGGAGGTGTCCCCGGGGCGGGGGGTCCAGGGTCACTCCTGGTGCTGCGGCGGCTGCTGGAAGCTGCGTCTGGCCACAGGCTTAGGGCTTAATCCGCCGACTTCTTCTGCCGCTGCCGCATGCGCGGGAGCTGGTCACAGATGGGGCAGGAGGTGACGGGAGTTTGGGGTGGGCTGGCAGGGCAAGCGTCTCAGTCCCCTCGTTGGCCACCTAAACAAGACGAGAGGAACAGTGAAGCCCTTGGAGAGGATTTTTCCCAACCATGCCGGCTGTATCCCCAGGACTGGCTGGGGAGGTTAAAGCTGGTGCATGAGCAACGGTGGGGAGGTTGCTACCTGCTGTCCCCCTTGCCTGGCCCTCCTCTTGAGGAGGAAGAAATATCCCCCCAAAACATTTCTTCTCCCTCACCCCTCTGAACTCCCTTGGTGTTTCCTCCCAGTTTCCCCTGCCTGCAAAGCAGCTTTGCTGGATCCATGCTGCAACCCAGACTGAGGATTTCCCTCTCAGGCAGCACCTCCTCCTGGAGCAGTGCCCTGCCCGGCTGTCCGGGCTCCTGGGGCGAGAAACCTCTCCCTTCTTTTTGCTATTCATATGAACCCTTCAGGAGAGGGTGAGGCCTGGGGACCGCGTGCTTCTTGGGGAGGAGGGGCGGCAGGGAGGGAAAATGCAATATTTATATACTGGTTTGTTTGTCCTCCCCTGGCTGGATCCCCAGGCGCTGAGCAGACACGTTGGAGCAGCAGGGAGCCGGGGGTGCGAAGAGGGCAGCTGCTTTGCAGGCAGGGGAAACTGAGGCAGGCCAAAGGAGGTGATGGCTCGAGGCTGGAGGAGAAGGCGGGACGGGTCCCTGTGCTCAGGCAGGTCCCGGAGGTGCTGGGGGACAAGAGGGGAGGCAGTGGCTTGGTGCATGACAGCAGGGTGATGACCTCTCTGGTCAGTGGGGAGATCACTCAGATCAGCAGATCCCCTGTCGGTGTGTGTGGCAAGAGGGAGAGGGCAGGCTGGGGAAAGGAGAGGATTTGGGGTGCGGGGCACCTCGGAGCATCAGTGGTCCAGGTGCCTGCCTGGGGATGTGTCCCCCCCTGGGCTCTGTCCCCGCTCAGAGGCCAGAGGAACAGGATGGGGCTGGGTCACTTCAGAAGGGCCGGTTACTGAGGGCAGCATGCCAAGAGGCGATTCAGGAGCCTCGCATCCCTCACTCCCTGCGTGCTGGGACCCCCATCACTGCATGGCTCGGCTGTCTCCCCCTCTGCCACGCTGCCTGCCCCCCCCGTCTGTCCCCGGGTCACCTCGGAGCCGATGGCCGGTGCCAGGGAGGCAAAGCCACTGGCGAGGGGGAGCCCTGGGTATGGAGCTGCTTTCCTGGCTGGCTACACATGTTTTCACCATGCCCTGGCCTTGTTTGCTCACCCGGGGCCCCTCTTATCTGCCAGGGGTTAATGCCTGGGGAAGGGAAAACAAACCTCCCCCGGCAGCTCCCAGCACCATTGGCTGCCTCCTGGGGCGGCAGTGGCCATGGCAGTGGGGACTGTGGCAGGTTGGCTTCCTGCTGGCCCCCAGCTCCCTGGCTCCTGCTGCCCGCGTCTGCCTCCTGCTCACGGAGGCTGTGCGGTGCTGCCTTGCAGCTGGGACAGGTCAGGCACGTGGCAGATTTGGAGTGGGAGGACAAATGGGGAGCAATTTTCTCTCTCTGGCAGAAGCCCACCTATAGACACTGGGTCAGGGCTCTCCTGGGGTGCAAGAAAAGCCACTGGGGTGGTCCTTGCAGCACAACAGGGCTCTCAGGGCCCAAAGTGGGGACTGTGCCCTTCGGCGGTGGTGCCCACATGATGTGGGGCATGTGCTGCAATGGCTAGGGCTAATCTGAGGGGTAGACCCCCCCTCACCCCACCTCAGGTCCCCCGCACAGCGTAGCCGCCCTGCAGGCCCC